ATAGGGAGTGGTCTGAGGAGACCCGCAGGCGGGGTATTGCTAGACTTAGTTTGGGCACAGACAGGACAAGAAGCTACAAACTGACGTATGTCACGTTCTCTAGTGGGCCACCAAAATCTCCGACGAATAGTGGCCAAGGTACCCTTAACACCAGGATGGGCGACTAACTTAGAGGCGTGGCCCCACTGGAGGACGGATGAACGAACGGTGGGAGGAACAAATAACGTCCCTGTCGGGTCACGAGGAGGTCTGACAGCGAGTGAGAGAGCCCTCTTAACAGTCTGCTCAACTCCCCAGACGGCAGCTCCGACCACGCAGTGCTGGGGTAAGATAACCTCCTTGGTCAAAGCTGCCTCTGTGGAGCCGAACAGCCGCGAGAGGGCATCGGGCTTAACGTTCTTGGAACCTGGCCTAAAAGAGATCGAAAAATCAAAACGACCAAAAAATAATGCCCAGCGGGCCTGACGAGCGTTAAGTCTCTTGGCGGAGCGGATGTATTCGAGGTTACGGTGGTCAGTCCAAACGATAAATGGAATACTGGTCCCCTCTAACCAGTGCCGCCACTCCCCCAAGGCTAACCGAACCGCCAAAAGCTCCCGGTTACCAACATCATAATTGCGCTCTGCCGGTGAAAGGCGATGGGAAAAGGCACACGGGTGAACCTTGTCATCAAGAGAAGAACGCTGCGACAAAATAGCCCCAACCCCTACATCGGAAGCGTCGACCTCGACTATAAATTGTCTCTCAGGATCAGGGGTAACCAAAATGGGCGCGGAGGTGAACAGCCTCTTGAATCGATCGAACGCATCTTGTGCCATCTCTGACCAAACAAACTGAGACTTAGTCGAGGTGAGAGCAGAGAGAGGAGCGGCAACCTGACTGAAGTTACGAATGAATCGTCTGTAAAAATTAGCAAAACCTAAAAATCGCTGGAGGGCAACACGAGAATTAGGAACGGGCCAATCGAGGACCGCCCGCACCTTCTCGGGATCCATGCTGATTCCCTCAGCAGAGACCACCGAACCAAGGAAGGTGACAGATTGAGAATGAAACACATTTCTCAGACTTAGCGAAGAGACGGTTCTCAAGTAGACGTTGCAAAACCCGACGAACGTGTTGAACGTGTACTTCGAGTGAGGGTGAGAAAATGAGGATGTCGTCCAGATAAACGAAAACAAAGACATTTAACATGTCACGCAAAACGTCGTTGACCAACGCCTGAAAAGCAGCGGGAGCGTTGACCAGCCCGAAAGGAAGAACGCGATACTCAAAGTGACCTATAGGGGTGTTAAACGCGGTCTTCCATTCGTCTCCCTGCTTTATACGAACAAGATGGTAAGCATTTCGCAAATCCAATTTAGTAAAGATCTTTGCGCCCTGCAAGATCTCGAAGGCTGACGACATAAGGGGCAAGGGATAGCGGTTCTTGACCGTTATGTCGTTCAACCCCCGATAATCAATGCAAGGACGCAAAGATCCATCCTTCTTAAAGAAGAAACCAGCACCAGCTGGCGAGGAGGACGGAACAATAATTCCAGCGTCAAGGTATTCAGAGAGATACTTCTCTAAAGCCTCTCGTTCGGGCGCCGAGAGAGAATACAATCTACCTCGAGGCGGCATGGTGCCAGGAAGGAGATAGATGCAACAATCGTAGGGGCGGTGAGGCGGTAGAGAAACGGCCCGGGAAAGACTGAAAACCACCCGCAAATCGTGGTACTCCTCCGGGACCCCAGACAGATCACCAGGTTCCTCCTGAAAAACAGACACAGAAGAAACCACAGGAATAGCAGACACTAAACAATTAACATGACATGAAAGACTCCAAGACAAAATGGTATTCTTGACCCAGTCAATATGAGGGCTATGATGGACTAGCCAGGGATGTCCTAACACAACGGGGGTATAGGGGGACTGAAAAATGAGAAAAGAAATAGTCTCTTGATGGTTTCCTGAGACGGTGAGACTCACCGGACTGGTGACACGGTGAACATTAGAGAGAATACTACCATCCAGGGCAAAGACGGTGGTGTTCCCCTTTAAGTCCACCAGGGGGATGTTATGTTCCCGAGCCCATCTCTCATCAATAAAGTTCCCCTCAGCCCCTGAGTCGATCAACGCGGGACATGAAACGGTGGAACCGGCCCAACGAAGGACGGCGGGCAGGGTGGTGCAGGATCTGGATGAAGAGGACAAAACAGTCGCGCTCGCCAGTACTCCTGTCTACTGGCGAGCTCTGGCTTTTACTGGACACGAAGCTGCGAAGTGGCCAGCCGAGCCGCAATAAAGACACAGTCTGTTGGAGATGCGACGTTGTTTCTTCTCTGGCAGAAGACGAATGCCACCCAACTGCATGGGCTCTGGATCAGGTCTAGCAGAGACTGGAAAAGGAGGTTCGCGAGGAGTGGAGGAAGCTGCACGGGCACGTCGCCGTTGCTCAAAGCATCTATCGAGGCGAATCGCCAGCTCTATCAGTTGGTCAAGCTGGGCCGAAGAACCGCGAGCATGAATCTCCTCCTTTAAATCCACATTCAAACCCTCCAGGAAGCGCGCGACCAGAGCAGGTTCATTCCATTCAGCTGTGGTGGAAAGGGTGCGGAATTCAATCGCGAAATCAGCCACTGTTCTCCTCCCCTGGCGAATCGTGGTGAGAAGACGCGAAGCCTCGCGTCCGAAAACTGACTGGTCGAAAACTTTAATCATCTCGTCCTTAAAGAGATCAAAACAGTGACAGCAGGAAGTCCCAGCCTCCCAAACGGAGGTTCCCCACTCACGAGCGCGTCCAGTCAATAACGAAATCACATAGGCGATGCGGGCACGATCCTGCGCATAAGTCTGTGGTTGCAGGGAAAAAGCTACCTCACACTGAGTCAAAAAGGCTCTACATTCCGTAGGCTCACCTGCATAACATGGAGGATTGTTCACACGAGGTTTGGGAAGAGAAGGACGACTCTGAACAACCGGTGATTCCTGGTGAGCATGAAGGAGGCGTGCAGACAAATCATTAACCTGTGCGGCCAAACATTCCACCGCATTTCTGGCAGCAGATAATTCCTCCTCGTGACGACCCAGCATAGCTCCTTGGATCTCTACAGCAGAAAAAAAAGATTCCTCCTTTGCTGGATCCATCCTGGTCGGATTTGTAAGGGGTATACAGTCAAAGACTCAGAACCAGATATGAAGAATGAAGACCCGGAGTCAGAATTATAAAAAATTAAAGAAAAGTTTTACTGAAGATAGTTTGCATTTTCATCAGCAGAAGTCAGCTTCAAGACTCACACAGGAGTTCGTAGGCCGCCCCCCCTTACAGTTACAAAGATCACAGCAGTTATACCATTTCCAAGGTCTAAGCTACGTCATTGCTTACAGGTTGAATGATTCTCATTGGCTAAGAAACATTAAGAGCCTAAACAATTTAACACATGTGAGGAGATAGGGGTGCCTATCGCCATTAGTCAAGATAGTTGTCGTCCACTCATTGGATTTAGGTCTGTGGTGGCCTCGCAGGTTAGAGAAGGGCGCCGGGGTGTCTGGTCCGACCGTCCAGAACCTACATAGAATGTCATACGCACACACACACAAATAACAGACACTAGCAAATAACAGCTCCCATCAAGGCTGAAGAGAGTCTGAGCTCCTTATTATCAGTTAAGTATACCAAAACATACTGCTAAAACATTCACTCGTTTGGGAGAAAAACAGATCACTGGCATTTACTCCCAAGGAAGGAAATATACAATTAAAGTTTGATAGTAACGCTCAATATAGCTTGACCATATGTCCAGCGAAGAATCATATGTGCCCACGCTGCCTTTAGGACCCTCTAACCTTTCTACTGATCCCAGAGAAAGAGACAAATGGCCTTGTGGGTTACGTGGCCTTCGTGTCCTGCGTGTACTACGTGCAATCTCAAAGTAAGATTGGAAGGCATCTAAAAGAAACTGGTTACTTGCATCCATGCATTTAAGAAAATATAATTTCACAAGCACAAGAATATAAAAATTATTATGTGATAATGAATATATTTGATTATTGATTTTTATAAAGGAAGTATATAACCATTCAAAATGATATATGATTATATATGTATTTGAAGAGGCAAGGGATTTTGACCAACCCTTCAGATTATTCTGTCAGGGTTGATACAAAAGGATCCAAAAGCAAAGGAAGTTCAATGCAAAGTCTTTAATGTCCAACAAAAACAGCTTTAAGAATAACCGCTCAGAACTAGAACAGAAAAAGGTGCTCTCCAGAAAGACAGCTTCTCAGTGGATACTTTGTCGGGAGAGATAACGAAGAACAGAAAATACTCTCAGAGTAAATGGTCCTTGAAGCTGGCAGCTGAGCAGAGAGAACAACGGATGAATCTCACCGAAGCAGGTCACAGGAGACAGGAGACAACAAGGCGAATACTGCTACACAAGACAAGACATAGGTAAGACTCCTTTAACTGACAAAATGAGAAAACATACTCACACAATAATCCGACACAGAACAGAGAGAACAAACACTAGAAGTAGACTGAGTAATTAGACAAGACAAGACACAAGTGTGAGCGGAGAGCGCTGATACTGATGATCAACAGGTGAAGGCAGAGCGCAAACATGACAGTATGTGTGTGCGCTGGAGAGTGAGAGAAATGGGTGTGTAAATGAGTGTGTGTGGTGGTATGAGAGTGAGAAAGAGCAGATAAGTAACCCAGATCCTGACAATAATAGAACATATTGACTAGAATTTCACAGGAATTTTTCCATTTTAAATTGCTAATTTGTGAAATGCTATAGACTAGGCTAGAAATCCCACATTCATGATATAGGAACAGGTTAGTAAGTAAATGTTAGTTTAACCTTCCTGTGGCTGTTTGAACTTACGTAACGTGTTGCTTTATGGCTGAGTGCAAAGCACAGGGGAAAGGGTGAACAGAATAGCAATGACAGCAATGAATAGCATTGAGTAGAAGTCCTGTTTGCATTTTGAGGAACACAAGAAAGCTGTCAGAAACATTCTAGGAGAGCGGAAGACAAGACAGGATTAAGACTTAAGAAAATTAAACACTTTTCCCCATAATGGAAATCCCTGATATGGCTTCGGTGAGTTAATAATTTTTCTTTCAAGTGTTTTACGATAGTATAAGAAATGAATGTGTCTGTTTAATACCAGTTAGGTATTACAGATGTGAACAGTTATAAATTAGAATTCATAAACATTAGCATATTGTAGTTTTTAAGAACAATTTTGAGGGCTTGATACACAATTGCAGGTGCACATACAGTAGACCACACACAAGTATTTGCAAATGTATCCACATTTCTTAACATACCAATATTCAACATTATATGTATTGCATTAAATAACTTTTTTTTTTAATTCCTAAAAGTGAATACAGTAGATGAAAATAAAAACATTCTCTACTGGTAATGCAGATGTATCTGAAATCTTGCTGCTAACAGGATTTTACATTGTTTGTTTATTGCCAATGATGAATCTCTAATGATTGCTCAGTCAGTGCAGTGAAACTTTAGCATTAAACTCAAACGTTTTCTATTCTGCAGCTGAAACTGCAGAGTCGTCCAGAGATGTTTGATTTTGAGGGTATTTCTATGACACACTTTTTCACTGACAACTGGGAAAAGTTGAAAAACTTTCAAGCAAGACCTGATGACATTCTTATCGCCACTTATCCCAAAGCAGGTGAGACTAATGCATGAAGTTTTTCTTTAATTTAATTTGGCCAGTATGCTGACTTGACTCCTAATAGCTTACTATTACTATTAAGTTAACCATTAGTTAACACTATGAAACAGGATCATGTATTGTCTATCCAAACTGGTCTTTAAAACACTTATTTTAAAACTCTATTTCCATTGTATTACCAGGTACCACATGGGTTTCTTATATACTGGACCTTCTGTATTTTGGTAATGATGATCTAGAGCGTCAGACTTCCCAGCCCATCTATATGAGAATCCCATTCCTGGAGTCATGCTTTCAAGAGTTCTCAACAGGTCAGAAACTTACTATTCAGTAAAGTCAATCATTTTATTTAACTACATTTTAAACAAGTGAAAATATAGCTGCAAGCAGCGATGACAGGCTCAAGCCCCAGCGCAACCCCCCCGGTTTACACTATGCTGATTTACTGCAGCCAACTGGTGCCACCATAACTGTGAACCACAAGGTTTATATAAACAAAAGCATTTTTTAAGTGACAATCGTTTTTCAAACAATCCATAATAGCCGACTTCCTGTTGGGCCGGTGTGTTAGTGTGCGAAAGTTGTTTGGCCCGATGAGATCCATAAGTGTAAGAAGTTTGGTTACTGTAGTTGAAAAGTGGTGTGCTATACAGAGCCAACCCTAACCTTAACTAACCCTTAAAGTCCCCCGGTGGTGAAAATCCAGCTTTTAATGTTGTTTATATGTCTATGTGGTGTATTTAATATGCTTTAAGACAAACAATGTGTAAGTTCATAAGTCGACAGCATTGCTGAGTATTTTCTCCTTAAAACTGCAGTGAACCAAAGACAGTCTCAAAAACACGGTTTGAAATCGCTGGTGTTTCTGACGTCACAAAAGACCTTGTAACCAATCAGATCAACGTGTGATCGTCAACCAGTGGATCTCTGAGCTGAGGGAGTGAGTGGAGGCGGGGCTCATTTGCATATTCATAGAACCGGGTATACTAAATGAGGCAAGGGTGTAGAGTTACATTCAAGCTATTTTAAGGCATGAAGACATTTTTTTCAAGGAAAAAAAAGCTTAAATATGTCATTTTGGTGATCAAAGATGAGTTTTAAGGGATTAAATGATGGACTACAGGGAAGGCTATAACAGTTGTGTGTTGTCTTTCAATGTGCCTTTCAATTCCTTGCCTCTTGGCCCCCAAGTTAGATCTTCGCAATTATCCCGGTTTCTTAGATAATGTTTATTTTATTGGCATTTTAGCCAAATTTCCTGATCCATGGGCTTTTGACCTTTGAATAAGTAAAAACTCCAAATACTTTAATTTGATTGTCCACTTTAGACATTCTACTAAAGCAGCAGCCATATCACCCTGTAGCTGGACTGTTCAGTACCTGGGGTGTGTTTCCCGTACAACGCCGTAACTCGCTGCTTCACTATCACAGTACGATGCATCGTTGAAGAAATCAACTAGCTAGTCACGACTGTTTCCCCAAACCATATTGTCGCAAAGTGGTCATTCAACCACGTTGGTTTATGGCGTCACACACGTGTTGGAGTAATAACTTCTTTTAATGAAACTGTTTGAGATCGAATTAACGCTAGATGTTTTGATATAAATTACAGACACGGCATCTGAGGGTTATTTTGCTTTATTTCCAGATTCACTCATATGCTCGTTCTTACAGTAGAGCACTTTCGCACATGCGCACTCTTCAAAAACGGTGCTTTAAATCTCTTGACAAGCTAAAAGACGTAAATTACATTTGTACATATTTAGACCTGACTCTGAAAGTAGGAGTAAATTAGTTCCTCCAAAAAGAGTTCCTAGAACTTCAATCGTTCCTAGTTCCTGTGGTGCGAACACGCCAAAATCCGGGAACTTCCGCCAATAGTTCTAGGAACTATGAAAAGGTTCCTCCGGTGCCCCTTATAGCCTACTGTAACAAGCACTGTCCTTTAGGTAAGACGTTAAACCGAGGTCCTGACTCTCTGTGGTCATAAAAAATCCCAGGATATCCTTGAAAAAAAGAGTAGGGGTTTAACCCCGGCATCCTGGCCAAATTTGCCAATTGGCCTCTATCCATCATGGCCTCCTAATCATCCCCATATACTGATGGGCTTCATAACTCTGTCTCCTCTTCACCAGTAAGCTGGTGTGTGTGTGTGTGTGTGTGTGTGTGTGTGTGTGTGTGTGTGTGTGTGTGTGTGTGTGTGTGTGTGTGTGTGTGTTCTGGTGCGATATGGCTGCCGTCGCATCATCCAGGTGGTGCTGCACATTGGGGGTGGTTGAGTATTTTCCCCCCTTCCATGTAAAGCCCTGCTTTGAGTGCAGAGAAAAGTAACTTATTATTATTATATAAGTAACTTTGCACCTACATGTCAAGCAATCATTAGAGAATTAGTAGACTGTCTAAGCCTAACAGTCTACTACAGTCCATACACTAATGGGAGTTAGTTGACATGTAGTTGCAAAGTTAAATACCGGTATAGTTAGATTCTTTCAACTTTGCACCTTTTCATCTGTTCCTTGATTGCTGGAATGTAAAATGTTGGAATGTAAATTATAAATTGTTTATAAAAGGCCTCAAATGGGTTTTGGCATAACCTAAATGATAATGACACTTAATACAACATGTAATTATCAGTTACAGGGACAGAAATGGCTGATAATCTTCCCACCTCTCCTCGTCTCATCAAAACTCACTTACCTGTTCAGTTTGTACCCAAGTCCTTCTGGGAGCAGAACTCAAGGGTAAATACTGCGGGTCTTTTGACTGCTAGAATAGATGATAAATATAATCATATCTGCCAAAATCTGACATTTTATTTGGATATTGTCTTCATTTAGATTTAAAAGATGAGATTTTGAAACTGCATTTTCAATAAATCTGATCAATGAGAGGCTTGATTACGCCTTGAGGTTTCTAATCATTTATATTTTCAAGCAACTAATTTAAAACTTGAGTTCTCTGTAAAGAAGAAATGTTGCTATGTAGTGCTATCAAAATATTACTCTGTTTTGGTGAGTGTCAACAAAGCCTTAACCAGTGGGCCACTTTAAATACTATCCACTCTATAGACAAATTGACAAATGGCAGGTGTGTGTGAAACCTGTTTGTAAATAGTCACTATGCAAGGAATTACGTTTGGTCCCGCTGGTGGAACAGAAATTACTCACTGCAGCTTTAATAAAGTGAAGTAGCTGTAATGAATGTAATGAAATTGTAACTCTCTGAAAAGTATTGCATAATACAACATAGCAAGTCTTGTGCTATGCTATAATATATATATTTTTTTCTTTCACTTATTCCAGATTGTGTATGTAGCACGTAATGCAAAAGACAATGCCGTTTCCTATTTTCATTTTGATCGAATGAACAGGGTACAGCCTGACCCGGGAGATTGGAACAGCTTTATAGAGAAATTCATGAAAGGGAAAAGTAAGTAATCAATCACGGCTTGGGTGCAATCTATCATTTTAATATCTTGATTAAAAAGGATGTTATGAATCTAACATTGAGAATGTACATATGTTTCATTTCTTAATTACAACCCCTACATTATTAATCAAGAACTTTGTCTTGGAGATTTTGTTTTTAACATCAGTAATGTCCCGCCAGATGTGTTTGGGCCTTGGTATGATCATGTCAGCGGATGGTGGGAGAAAAAACAGACATATTCAAAACTACTGTACTTGTTCTATGAAGATTTGGTTGAAGTAAGTTAAATTCACAAAGTGACAATTTTATAAAGTGTAAAATCAGTGTTAAATGTGTCTAAAGTGTGTATTTTCCTGGTCTTTTCAGGACACTGGACGTGAGGTGGAACGTTTGAGCTCCTTCTTGGGTTTGTCCACCTCAGTCGAAGAAAGGGAGAAAATAACAAAAGGGGTTCAGTTTGATGCCATGAAACAGAACAACATGACCAACCATGTCAACCTCCCTTTCATGGACTTCAAGATCTCACCCTTCATGAGGAAAGGTTAATAAATCGCTGAATCATCTAATTATCTCCTTCTGAGTTCTGACCTTTGACTTGCTTTTCTCTTCTTGTTATTTGTGTTCCAAAAGGTAAAGTCGGAGACTGGAAATGTCACTTCACAGTGGCACAAAATGAACAGTTTGACGAGGTCTACAAACAGAAGATGAAGAAAACCACTGTCAGATTCCGCACCGAGATTTAATATTTCAGTTCTAGATCTTGCACCAGAATCAGGTTAATCTCTGCTCTTCTGTTTTAACTTAGAGCAGTGGTTCTCAACCTTTTTTGGTATGTAGTTTAATTGTAGTTTAAATGTAGTTTAATTGTCTTCCCTGAATTTTAATGTTGATTTATTATTCTGTGTTTATTATAATTAAGCCTATTATTATATTTACACTATCATTCAAATATTTAGGGTCAGTACAATTCTTTTTATTTTCATATTAAACTGATACTGATACTCATTCCGCAAGGATTCCTTAAGTTGATTCAATAATAAATGTAATAATTGGATTTACAAAGTTTTTTTTAAGAATCGTTGGTGATTTTTCGGTGCTGTGGCCTTTGGCAATGTTGAGTTTCCTTTAAAATCTTATCTGACATACACTGCTGCCCCAAAGGTTAAAAAGACTTTTTCTGTTTCGGATATATCCATATGGAAGTTTTACAGATACGTTTTCAGTTTGTTCTTCCTTTCCTAATACTCTTCCAATATACTATTATCCCTTAGTTTTAGAAGATGTCCTGTTTTTTAAGACTATATTGAATCCCCAGTTGTCTTACCTCGTGAACATGGTAATGTTGGTGGGAAACTATCACATTGACACACCTCCCCTACCGCTCTCCCTACAGACATCACCTCAACCAACCCCTGCCTCTCCTTCTCCTACTTCTACTTTTGAGTGAGAGTTCTTCTCCAGGCGCACACTCCGAGTCCAGACCTGGGGTGTGTTTCCCGAAAGCATCATTAGCCAACTATGTTTGCAAGTTCCGTCGTTATCAGCAGTGCAACGAGTCGTTTTCTCAAAACGTACTCAGTTACTAACGTAACCTCGGTTCCCTGAGAGTAGGGAACAATTATTGCGTAGCTAATATGCAGTGGGGAAACTCCTATCCTCGAGAATATTGAAGCCTATATTTTAAAATGCAGTGCAGCTGCACAGCAAGCACAGTAGAGTGTCTAGCTCGCCCATTGGCTGTGCTGCAGCAACTGCACATCCTATGGCGAAGCGGCTCAGATGCGCAAACCAATAAGGCAGCTTCGCGCCTAAGCACGTCAGAGACCGCCAGAATGGGCTCGGCTTATGGCTGTATAAACCCACCACTAGCATCAGGTTAAATCGACTGAAGCAAAAAAAAAAAACCCTGACAGATTGCAATAGTGTGGCAGTCTACGCAATACTCATTCCCTACTCGCAGGGAACCGAGGTAACGTTAGCAACTGAGTACGTTCCCTTACGAGAATGGTCACTTTGTATTGCATAGCTAAAACGCAGTGGGGACCCAATGTAAAACTCTGCACTAATAGCGACTGACTCTGTCCCAACTGGAGCCTAGGGCAACAACCCGAGGTTCACAGTAAGACACAAGCCATTATAAAAGCTCCCAACAAGAATATGAATGGGGACCGGACCTGAGTTGGGACCTGAGGAGCACCTGAGGTCAGGTTCGCTCTTATAAACAGTATTACTTCCTAGGACAGACTTGTGCTTATGGACAGTAAATCGTGTTAGACTGAAAGACCGGACGACCATCGGGTCTACTTATCATATGGAGAGGACTCGAGGTACTTCCATGTCGTAGAACCTAACAAATGTGGACGCGAGGACCAGCCGGCCGCTGCACATATGTCTTCAATTGGTACACTACTAGACCAGGCCCACGAAGAACCATGCCTCTTGTGGAGTGGGCCCTAGCGCCTATGGGACAAACCTGGCCCACCGATGCGTATGCCAGAGAGATAGCATCCACTATCCATCTCGATAGTCTCTGCTTTGTGATCGGTAACCCCTTGGTGCGGCCGCTGAAGCATACAAAGAGCTGTTCCGACTGCCTGTACGGTGTACGATTTTAAGGGCTCTGATGGAACAGAGCAAATTAGCTTCCCTGTCGTTCTCCAAGGGGGGAAGTGCTGATAATGTGATATCCTGCGCTCTGAACGGAGTTGGCAGCACTTTGGGTACGTAGCCATGTCTTGGTTTTAGGGTGACTCTGGAATCACCAACCCCAAACTCCAGGCAGGAATGGCTCATGGAGAGTACCTGCAAGCCGCCCACTCACTTTACTGATGCCAGGGCCAATAGGAGAGCAGTTTTCAGTGAAAGTGGCTTAAGGTCAACCGACTGAAGCGGTTCAAATGGGGCACGCTTCAGGGCCCCAAGGACCGTGGAGAGGTCCCATGCCCGAGGGGGATTCATCCTCCTAGGCCCCTTGAGGAAGCTAACAACGAGGTCGCTTTTCCCTAATGACTGGCCAGCCACAGGAGCAAGGTAGGCTGCTATGGCCGCCACATACACTTTGAGCGTGGATGGGGTGCGTCCCATGTCCAAAAGCTCTTGCAGGTAGGAGAGTACCACTGATACCTTGCATGACTGGGGTTCGAGGTCTCTAGCTGTGCACCAGCTGGTGAACACCGACCACTTCAGAGCATAGAGGCGCCTCGTAGACGGTGCTCTAGCCTCAGTGATAGTATTGAAGACCCTCTCTGGGAGGACCCAGGATACCCAATGAGGGGCCACACATGAAGGGCCCACAAGTCGGGGCGAGGATGCCAAATCGACCCGTTTGCGTGCGTGAAGAGATCCTTCCTCATTGGCATATGCCAGGGGGCTTTGTTCAGCATCTGCACCAGCTCTGGGAACCATACCTGGGTCTTCCAGAGGGGGGCTACTAGGAGGACTGAGCATCTGCTGTCCCTGATCCACTCAATGACCTGAGGAATCATCAAGACAGGAGGGAACGCATAGAGCGGGCGTCTGGGCCAGGGATGGGCCAGTGTGTCCCTGTTCTTTGAAAAGAACATTGTGCAGTGAGAGTTGCTCTCTGAGGCAAAAAGGTCGACCTCTGCCCTGCCGAACACAATCCAGATCAGACGGACCATCTGTGGGTTGAGAGACCACTTGCCGGGGGGAGTGTTGTCTCGAGTCAGCATGTCCGCACCCAGATTTTGGATGCCCGGGATGTGAGCAGCTCTCAGGGAACGACATGTTGTCCGTGCGGACCAAGACGTTTCAGCCAGTGCTGAAACGGCGTTTCAGTCAGTGCTGTAGGGGGCGCATATGCAGTAATCCCAGTTGGAGTACCGACGATGCCGCGGCCATGAGGCCCAAAAGCCTCTGAAACTTTTTGAGGGGTGTGTGCGCACATGCCCTGAAGGAAGCTACTAGCCGTTGGATAGAGAGAGCTAGCTCTGGCGTGAGCCGGGCTCTCATCTGTGTCGAGTCGATAACTGTGCTCAGAAAGGTTACGTTCTGTCTGGGTGACAGTCTGCGCTTGGAAAATTTGATCCTGAGCCCGAGGCATTCCAAATGACAGAGGAGCCAGGATCTGTGTGTCAATAATTTAGTCTTCGACTGGGCCATGATGAGCCAGTCGTCGAGATTCAGCACGCGCACTCCCTGTTGTCTCAGGGGAGAAAGCGCTGCGTCCATGTACTTCGTAAATGTATGGGGTGCTAGAGACAGGCCAAATGGTAGGACCGTGTATTGATAAGCCTGCCCCTCGAAGGCGAATCTCAAGAATGGCCTGTGATGGGGCATTATCTGAATATGAAAATAGGCGTCTTTCAGATCCACTGTGAAAAACCAATCACCTGGGCGAACTTGCGCGAGGATTTGTTTGGTAGTTAGCATTCTGAATGGCCATCTCATGAGGGCTCTTTTCAGATGTCTCAGGTCTAAAATTGGCCTGGTGCCGCCATCCTTCTTTGGTACAAGGAAGTAACAACTGTAAAAACCTGATTTTGCTTTTTCAGCGCGGGGGGAACTTTCTCTATCGCCCCTTTTGCTAGCAGGTTTAGCATTTCAGTGCGAAGCACGTGCATCACGTTGCTTCTCACCGAAGTCTTGACGACCGCCTGAAAGCGCGGGGGTCTGCGAGCGAATTGGAGCGAGTAACCACGCTTTATAGTGTTCATTACCCAATTTGACACTTCGGGGATGGCTTGCCAGGCCTCGGCTCGTGTTGCTAAGGGTTGAATGAAAATCAGGGATGGGTTGCCTAGCATAGGGGGAACTATTTCCCGTGTGTTGTGTTTTGTACTCTCTACTGGGCTGGCTCGCCAGGCCTCGCCCCAACTGGACAGAGATAGAGTGACAACTGGGGGTGGGCCGCCTAGTGAAGGGGGACCGGTTACCCGGGTGTTGTGGGTGTTGTGTGTTTGAAACATACTCTTTTTGTGCTTTATTTGGGTCGCTGTAAAAACAGCGTTTGTTTGTAGGGGCGCGTGCAGTGCAACGGGCCCATTGACTAAAATAAAAAAATCTCCAGCTGCTTGGGCTAAACAGGGAGCTGGGAGATTTAAGTGAGCTCTTTTCGAGGCTGGTCCGGCCGCGGCGAGACTTAGACCCTCTCTGTTTTCTCCTGTTGCTAGGAGGTCTTCGGAGGCTCAGGGTTAAACACAATCCTGGGTCGGGGGCCCTTGTGCTGTGGGTGTGGATGGGGCCTAGCTGCCACAAACCCTCCGTCCAGTCGGCTTCTAGTAGGCTCCTCGGGTGAGGCCCACTCGAGCCCAAGGTCCGACACGGCCGCGGTGAGGTGCGAAGCATCCCCGAGTCCGAGTAAGTCCTGGCCACACTAGCACTCGACTGGGAGAGGAGGGCGGGGTCAACTGAGCCCGACCACTCTTCTTCGGACGCAGCAATGGAGAGGCTGTCGACGTGCCATTCGTCCGATCCACCGAAGGAGACGAGACCCGCCGCTCGTTGGGAGGGGCGCTGGTCCGCCTGAGTGAACAGGACCGGTGAAGGGGATTGTGACGGAGAAAGCGAGGCACGCAGGGACGTGGCCGGCGTGGGCTCGCTTATTTCCATGTGCTCGGGCTGCCATTGGCTGCGGCGTTTCTTCCGCGGCTGAAGTAGGGCGGGGAAAGGAAGAGCGGGTGAAGCAGTGTTGCCGTCTTAACCGCGTCCGCAGCATGGAGATGGGCAAACTCTCGCACCAAAAGCAGCTTCCGGCAGAGAGTGCAGCTTCAGCGTGGGCGGCTCCCAGGCACATGGCGCACTCCGTGTGCCCGTCCGCCTCGTGCAGAAGGGATCAAAACCAAACCAAAACAAAAAAGCTTGTTGAATTGCACTAATTGAAAAAAAAATATATGCATTGCATTAACCGTGCTTGCATTGTATTTTTAGGGCTTGCATTTTTCGGGGTTGAAATTCAAAATGGTTGTATATTTAAGCTGTGAATATTTCAATTCAAAACATTTCACACACATTTTCAATTCAATAATCCATATTCACCTTTCAGATTT